TAATATTCCATTGAATATATGCTCCACAGTTTTCTGTCTATTCACCTGTTGAAAGACACTTGAATTGTTTCCAGGATTTGGCTATTGTAAACAGTGCTGCTATGTACATAAGTATAGAGATTATCATTTTTCCAATCTTTAGAAATCTTGCAATTCTCACTACAAACATATATATATATATATATATGCACTCATATAAATTATGATTATTTACAAGTATATATACTTAAAATCACAATTTTACTATAAAGGTTCAGAAATTCAGGACCAGCCAGATGAAGAGTCCTATAGGCCAAAATCTGAATGAGTCTTGAATTCAGAGCTTGTTTTCTTTCTGCTTTCACCAAGTTTCAAAAGAAAATGATTACATTTTTTTCCTCCACTTTAACTGGATTTTTTAGTGGTAGGATTGTTTTTCTATTACAATAATAAGCAATCTAAGATTGCGTAGTTTGAGAATTTTACACGTACAGAACATATGATGAATAAATCTGTTGTTTATAGATGTGTCACCGCCATAAAACAAAAGGGCCTGTTTGGAAGCAAGAAGCAGATAATTCATACATTGTGACAGTGTTTTGAATTACCAACCAATTGTAGGTCTGGACTAATGAATACAACCATTACCAGATTTCCTGCCTAGAAAATCCTCTTGTACGTAAACTGCAAAATCACGTGCACAAACAGACTTGACACAGCTCTGATATGAGTTTCAGAGTATATACTGCTACATTCACATGTTTTTTGAAAATACCATTACTTGAAGAAATGAAACTGAACCTTCTTATCATTGCAATACACACACACACACACACACACACACACACACACACACACAGAATATTCCCGTTTGGGCATACCAAACTTTATACCTGATCAAAATCAAGGTGTAAAGACAGGTTTTGTTTCCTCTTTTTATTTTTATTATTTTTTGTTTTTATTTTTATAAGGATAGTTTTTATAAGGATAGTTAGAGACAGACCTGGCCATGGGTGAAAAGTGAAACTTTCTATTCACGTAAGAAAGATTTTTTTTCAAACCTTCAAGAATTAAACACTTACCAAAATACTGTGGGAAGTTTAGAATTCTTTTTAAATAAGGAAACCAAGTTTGGTGTGGTGACTTTCACTGTGTTTTGAAAACTGGGCTTTTTGTCTAAAATGTTAAATGGGTGAGGTCAGTGGGTCAAAGCAGAATTGTGGGTCTTAGAACCCACAGTGAAAGGCACAGAGGAACGTTGCTGGATGGGATGTCGACTCCTTAAGCTTCTCCTTGTTTTGTCTCACCCCTCATCTTGTGAGGTTTCAGGGGACACAGGAGATGCGGTTAAATCGCCTCCTGCTGCTTAAAGGCCCCGGTTTACTCCGGCACCAATATGTCCAGAAGATACAAGGACAGTGGCTCCCAAGTGTCCCTCTTTTTGACACAAAATTCAGTTTCTATTAGATGTTCCTTGAAAGTACTTGTGCATTTCTTTTAAAGGTGAATTTTTATAAGATCATGTCAAGTCGAGAATCATAAGAGGAATCTGATTAAAAGAAGAACCACAGAACACTCTACTTCCTTTAGCGTAACTTTGGTTTCTCTTCATATTGTATAAAACTTTTGCCTTTTTCCCTTAGTGCCTGCCCCCGCTCCTCTTGTTTTAAATCTTATTGTTTTTTTGTGACCTGCAGTTGGGATGATAATGCAGTGGAATAAAGGGGTCTCAGCCAAGGAGGTGCAACATCCAATGTCTTGGGCATGGAGAGTGGGCTTTTATATCCATTCTTGGTCTAGAATGTAGCTAAGGTGCTGTTTTAGTGGGCAAAGAGGAGAATCAGAGTCTATATTAGTCATTGTCAGCCTTGATAACACAGTGAAACCTCCTTTTAAAAATACTGATGCCTGGCTGGGGCCTCCCTGGTGGAGTAGGGGTTGGTCTCAGCGCTATCAAGCTATCACCAGCCACTACAGCATGAGTTCGATCCCCAGCCATGGAATTAACCCACATGGCACAGCAGACCTCTCCTGTCTTGCCCACTGCTCCCCTCACAGTGTATTTCAGTAGATCTGCCTATTCCGCTCCCTACTCTGTCTCTGGTGAATTGTCTCAACCCACGCACTTCTGGCCTACAGCCCAGTTCTCGTATGCATGAATAAATAAAAACAAATCTTTAAAAAAATACTGATGCCTGGGTTTTACTCACACAAATTCTGATTTAATGGGTGTGGCCTGGGAATCGGGATTTTTTCAAAAAGCATCTGCAGTAATATTCGTGTGCAGCCAAGATGGAGAACTCTTGATATGCACATTCTCCCCAAGGCTCAAAGAGACACAGCATCAGCCGCTCCAGTTGGAACACTGTCTAAACAGAAGCATTTCTTTGACTTTATTTCCAAAGTATTTTTTAGATAGGACAAAAGGCCTTTTGAATGCACACATATCCAGTGTCCTTTAGATTACTTCCAAAAGGCATTTAAAATTTATTATTTCCCTTATGAGTATTTCTTCCTAAAGCTAGAGAGACATTATTGGACCATGTATTGATTCAATGAATACTGATCCATGACCCACAACGCACCTGGAACTGTCCTAGCAGTCACTTGTGTTTTTTCACACCAGCCATGGCATAATCACGTACTTTGTCTTCCAAAGTTAACAACAGATGGAAGTTGGGCTGCACTTCGAACAGCCACACAAATTGCAAAATATCTGAACTCTGCTCCCACCTCCCCCACCATTGTGGCAGCCCCCAAGATGTTTAAATTCTCTGAAAAATGCAAAGACTTTTTAGCCACAGCAACAACTCCCTGCCCCAAACTTAACCAAATATAATACTTTGATGTTCAATGGAACTGTGAGAATGCAATGGAAAAATGTTCTTATTTTGTTGCAAGTGTTTATCTTGAAAACAGAATCAATTTCCAAGTTTTTGTTTTGAAAGCGGGCATTCAAGAAGATTTTTGAGTTATTTTCTGGTGTAGTTCGTTGTTTCAAGTTACCAAAATACACTTCATTTCTATAATATGCTATAAAGGTATTAGCCACAAAGGGTAAAATGACCAAAACTGTTAATTGGTTAAAAAAGGGAAACACAAGGTTAAAAATTTATGCTAGTAACTGAGTTAAAGTTAACTCACAGGGCACTGGGTTAATGTGGGTTCCTATGAGCTGGCTACCAGCTGGCCACTCATGGGCAGCTCTGAGCTATTTGCTATCTGCAAATCACAGCAGAGCATTCCTTGACTGCCAAGGAGTAAAGCCCAAATCATGAGGCAGGGCCTGGGTCCACCTAGGGACCCTGATTACTGACTATCTCCATGGGGGGTCTTGGAATAACTCTGCCTGTGACTTAATGGTCACTATATCCCCTTCTCTGTCCCTCATAAAACTTTGTTCCCCATTCCACTCCCACCACTGGACTTCATTCCTCATACCATTGTTGCATGATCAGCTTTTACGAGCCTGTCTGCTTTCAATAAGTGGCCCAAAAACTTCTGCTCAAGTAGCAGAGTTTTGCCTTGCAAACCTGTTCCACGACTGCTGTGTCCCTCATCACATTCCTGCCAAAAAGCAGCAACAAAGTTCCTGTTGCAGCAGGTTAATAGTATTATTTTGGTGTTTTACTATTATAGCATTGGGTGAATGTTTAATAATAATTATAACAATAGTAAAAATAAAATCTTTGTGTAAGTCTTGTTGCAGTCTTCCATGGGAAGAATGGCATTGAAGACTTCCCTATAAGTGGTTAAATTAGTAAATTTTATCTGGTCTGTATAGGCCTCATATATATAGATACATATATTTAAATTTTTATATGACTACCCATGTTTTACACCCTTTTTTTTTTTGACAGTATAGGATTTCTTCCCTCCGATGTGATCACCAAAGCTCTTCTACCAATGAGACACCCATAGTCCTCTGCAGAGTCCATTGTGCTCTCCCCAATCTTGTTCTCACCGCCCCCCCCAACCCTCCCTTCCTGGATATCTCAGCTCAATGGTCAGCTTTCAAGGCCCCAACTCTCATTTTGTTTGCTCAGAAGTGCTCAGAAGCTCTCTTCCGCTGGTTCTAGGCAGACACATTTGTTCAGGGTAGGTTTGCAGACCCGCTGTTTAGAGGCTGCAGCACGTACATGTGAACATGCCTTTGCTTAAAGACTTTTTGCAGTTATTCATGGAATCTGTATGTTGACTGTTTTGTGCCAAAGTTTAAGTAGGACTTGGTACCTTCTAATGGCAAGAAAGAATCTGCTCCAGAAAGAATTTGTTCCTATCCTGTGCATTTATGAACAACAAAGAATTGGCTGATGTATTTGTACAGGATAAGGAGCTGATTTTACTTTTCAGGAAAATGGCATAAAGTGTCATAATTCCATTTTCTTAGTCTCTTTCTGACTTATGTTTGCTTAGCATAATCATGTCCAGTTTCATCCATGTTGTCAAAAATGGCAAGAGTTCATCTTTTTATAGCTGCATCGTATTCCATTGTGTATATATACCATATCTTTTTAATCAATCTTCTGTCCTTGGGCACTTAGACTGCTTCCAAGTTGCCTACTGTAAATAGTGCTGCAATGAACATAGGAGCGCATACATCCCTTCAAATTAGTGCTTTTGCATACTTTAGGTAGATACCTATGAGTAAAATTATTTCAAAAATAATAATAAAATATTCATATATGTCCTATTGCAGTTTTATGAATAAGATATCATTAAAGCCCTCCTTTTACCTGTAGAAGACAGCTCTTCAGGTACAAGCGCTGTATCCCTGGGCACACATGCCTTGCAGCCCCACTTGCTTGAGTGGGTGGCTCCTCCATTGAAGTTCTCCTAAAGACTGTCAAATAAAGCTTTATTTTCATTTGTGGATAAAACTCTGGCTCATGGTTGGACTACTGTATACAGGGTTGGTGTGAGGACCAAAAGAGAAAGCATATGTAGATGCCAGGGTGTATGTCTAACCATGTACCTGTCCAGTGAAAGTAATTTCTTTCCTCTTTCCTCTTCCACTTCAGATAATGATACATCTTCCTGAAATTTTAGATGGAGCTCCTTCTTACTCAGTTCCAGGAACACAACACATTTTCTCTTGTACAATTATTTCTTTTCCTTCCATCTAAGCTGGTAAGTGATCATTATTGTACTCATGTTATAATGACCAGCCTGTAACCCATACCCTATGATTTTACCCCATTTCTTCATCCTTTCCAGTGTCATATATTCCTTGTAACTACCCTTGTCTTGAGTGAGTCTGAGTTATTTTATTTGTGGGTCTCATCTATGTAATTTAAATCTCTGCAATTCCAAAGATAATGATGGTTACTCTGCTTTTTACCCTTCTTTCTGTCATCTAATTAGGTAGGTGCACCTCAATTTTTCAACATGGTATATTTTGAAATTTCTTTTTGATGGCCTTTATAAAAAATGGCACAGAAAATTTATTTGATTACCTTAAAGTGAGTAAATTTAAATATTAGGTCCACCAGTGATATTCCAGATCAAACTATCCGTACATTTTATTAATTGGAAAGTGAAGAGTTTTATAGCAGAGAAGCTGCTTTAATTTCATGGATCTTTTCATAAAGGATTAGCACTGATATTTTACACATCTGTATTTGTGTCAGCAGAGATGTTACTTATAAATTTCCTTTACTTACTCAAGTATATTTGTTTTATTGAATGCTCTTTTTCTGAATAAGTTTTTGTCAGTGTGTTCATTCTATTACCCTAAATCAGTGCCAATTTTATGGCCTAATTATAAAAGATCTTCATTTTTTCTTTTTATAGAATTTATTTGTGCCTTTTATTTTCTAAAGGAAAGTTATAGAGAGCCATTCCTTTTCTTTCCCCACATTTGTTGCATTTATTCTTCCTTCTAAAAAGGTTTAGCTGCTTGACACTGGCCTCTAGGAATCCCATTGACTGTGCTCTCACAGGGAGTCACCCTGGGTCATTCCTGTGTAAACTTTACTCAGAGAAGCTTCATATTCAAACAGGAAAAAAAATCTGAGCTTGTATCCATGCTTGCTTGTCTGTAAAGTTGCATTCTTCTCAGATGCCTCATGAGAATAATTTTAAAAGATTAGGTCTTTGATGTTTTTCAAATTCCAACTGGGAAAGATTTTTTCCCCTTAATTTTGAATGTTTTCCCATCTTAAATCAGTGGATGCAGCATATAGAGAATTCTAAACAAAAGAAATACTATATTTTCACTTCATGTTTTCAGTTATTCAAAGCTGCTTTAGCAATGATTTGGAGATATTGTTGGCCAATAAAATTGCAAGTGAGATATTTAAATTGTAAAATGTGATGGTTTGAGATACATATATGTTGTAATTTAATGAATCACACTGATTAATTAATACATCAATTTCTTCTCATTTTGCTTTTTTTTTTAAAATGATGAGAACATTTAAGTTCTACTCCCAGCAAATTTCAATTACAAAATAAAGTATTCTCAATTATAGTCCACATATTATATATTAGATCTTTATTCACTACGTAACTGAAAAGTATCATCCTTTTACCGATGTCTCCATGTTTCCTCCACCAGGCCCTAGGAATGACTTTTCTAAAAAGGCAGGGGAATTTAATGGTATAGAGAGAAAGTAGTGTATAGGAATAACTTTTATACTCTGTTTCTATGAAATCAATATTTTGTTTTGATTCTATATATAAATGATACACGCAGTATATCTTCCTCTCTCTGGCTTACTTCACTTTGCATAATGCTCTCAAGAGCCATGCTTGCAAATGATGTGATTGTTGCAAATGATAGAATTTCCTTATTTTTAAAGACTGTATAATATTCCATTATATGTAGATATAGACCACATTTTCTTTATCCATTCGTCCATTGATGGACTCTTAGGTATTTCCATATCTTGACTATAGTGAAATAAGTTATTTTCTTTTTTTTGAAAGACCATATCTGCATAGGGAGGAAGGTACAGAGATTTCCCATATACTATGTCCTCACACATGTATGACTTCCCAATAATTAACACTTCCCACCAGAATGTAAATTATAACAGATGAACCTACATTGACACATTATCATCTAAAGCCTATGGTTTACATCAAGGTTCATGCTTGATGTTATACAATATATGGGTTTGAACAAATTTGTAATGAGATACATCTATCATAATATCAACTAGAGTACTTTCATGTCTGTTTTCCACCTACTCAATGCTCCTTCCTTGCTAAGTCTTGTGAATCACTGAATTTTTATAGTTTCCAGAAATGTCGTATAGTTGGAATTAGATTAAATTTTAGCAAAGATAATCAGTTTAACTTATGGGTGAAGTGTGAATGATAATTATACTTTTACACATCACAAAACACTTTAAAAAACATTAGATTTGGTCCTTCTAACACCCTTGTGAGATTGAGAAAGTATTATATTCATTTCACAGATGAGGAGACTGAAACTGGGAGGTGTGAGGTTTCTAAACATGAAGTGAGAACCACAGTTTCAATGATCTTGTGGCTCTAATCTAGAGTCAATTCTGTCACTTATATAAAAGGTATTTAAGGAACAGCTACTGAGCAGTCTTTCTTGCCTGCCAAATGTGCCCTTTGGTTTTGTTGTGACAGCTGGTTGTCTACCCAAAGCTATCCTATGCCCTTTTCCTTGAGGGCTGAAACTTTATTGTGTCCTGATATCACCTTTCTCTGAGTGCAGGGTAGGTGACAGCCTCTATGGATCCTGGAAGTGAGTATCTTGGCCTAAGGCAATCATGGTGTCTTCCTTATGGAATACATCACTTTTTGTCTGTAAGATTCTTTCCTGCTAGATTTTCCTCATGAAATTCCTTATCAAAAATAAGTTGGATCCAAATTTGGATGCAATTTGAAGAAACATTTAAGGGATCCTCTTGTCAAAATTAAATAAATTTACTTTGAGGATGCTCATTTTTCATTGTAATGAACCATTCAGAAATCTGTAATTCAGGAACAAAGGTAATAATTCTTATGTCTTCCAAAATAGACTTGAAGTAGAGAAACATTTCTACTCTTAGTGACCTTGATAAGGTCCATATGAGATTATCCTATCACTAGAGAGAAGGAATGAACACAAACAAAATTTCAAGGGAATTTTGTGTTTTGGTGCATGGGCATTGATGGAGGCTAAGAGCAGAAAATTTGAGGAGGCATCACAAGACCAGAAACTAACTCACACAAGGCCAAAAGCTGAAGGTAGAGGTAGACATGATTAACGTAGTTGCTTAACAGGCTATAGAAAAGTAAAGTATCCAGAGGTGCAGAATGAGGTGCAGAGCAAATGGGGACATGGAGATTGGGGGCCTTTGTGAAAGAATCACCAAACTGACCCAGTCAAACTAAATGCAGAAAAAAATCCTTAAGTTCCAGCCCTAGCAGTTAACAACCCCACAAAGGAATGAACACCTTCTGAAGAGAAGACACTATCAGTGCAACTTCTGCCACAGGCAAGAGGCAGCTCTCCTGTCCGCCTGTGACTGCACAAATGCCTTTTTTAACAAATCTGTCCCGTTTCACAGGCAGCTCCTTCTGCCCGCTTGTGTCTGCGCAAACGTCCTTGACTTCTCTTCCCTTTTTATAATAAATCTGCCCTTTTGAAGATAACTAAATGTCTCTTTCTCATGGGGAAACTTTCCATGTGCCACTGAAAAGAGCTCTGATAAAACTTTTCTCAGTGGGAAGCCAAGGACTCTGCTCTCTATGGATGGAGTCTGGGATCACATAGAAGGGAGAATCTGGGATCACTTGAATTGAAAAATCAAGTAAGTTTTAGTTAAGGGTAACATTGCAGACCTCTTCTATTTTGAAGATGAGGAAACCAGGTCTGAGAAATGAAAAGATTTACCCAACTTGGCAAAATCTGGCATTCAAGCCAGGTGTCCTGGTTTCCACCCAGAGCTGCAGGGTTAAGAGTATAAATGACCAGTAGCTCTTGGGACTCTCCACTTAAGTTGTGTTTGAGTTGCACAGCATCTGAGATTTATGCCATTATTGACATTTGTAAGCAGAATCCCAACCACAAATTGCAGCCTAGGAGTGGTTTTCCTGCTATAGGACATTGGGTTTCAGGTCAGAGAAAAACAAAATCAAACCAAATTGGTGGGAATCTCAGCTTTTGGGGAGACCTGCTGGGGAGAAAGGTGCAGCATGTCTTGCAGCAGAGAATCTGGGATTGTTCCAGAGATGGTTCCTGTCTCTATCTTTGCAATTATCTTGGCATTCTGAGCTCTAGGGCTAGTCAGGGATGATCAGGCAGCTTCAAGGACAGTGCAGGCAGGGTCTGCAGGAGACTTAAGGAAGGCTCTACAGATAAGGGTAACAAATTCCAAAGGGGACTAATCAAACACCCCCAAGACTAGGGGCAACAGGACATTCTGTTGATATGGGAAGATAAAGAAAAGTATGCTAAGATAAGGGCTGGGACACAGAGACTTAGTTCTGGGCACAGAGACTTTTAGGCAGTGAGTGAGACCATGGAGATCTAACCAGTCACAGAGAGACTGATGGAGCTTTAGAATAATCAGGGAAAGAAGGTGCATATTCCCCAAGACATGACTCCACTTCGGCTTCCTTGCCCCTACCTGGCCTGGTTCCACTGGCCTGGGAGTCCCACTTTATTTCTGCTCCTTTTCTCCTTAATAATCCCTTTATTTCTCTAAACAAATCTGCCTCTTCTTGCTTGCCTGAGTGTCAGCAAAGTTCCTGCTATGGCTCCATGAGACACCAGCCCTTGGTGGTTTAGGGGCTGGGACTGAGCACTGCCCCTGCAGCCTGGGAGCATTCCTGGCTGGGAGACCAGGCCTGAAGACCTGACATTACGCTAGCAATTCATCGTTGGTCACCTGGATCCGTATTCTTTATGTGATCTCAGTGGTACATCAAGCATATCTGAAAAGCAAGTATTAAGACAGACCCATCTTTCCTGAAAAAGCATCTTTCCTTGCCCATCTAGGAGCACATTATGGGTGAAGATTTTCTGTTATTAAAAATCTTAGAATTTTGGGTATGAAAGGTAATACCTTTTATGAATAGGCTCCTACATTTCTTTGTAGGGGATCTGTCTGTGTTCTTACTGAGCTCTGTCATTTTAGTTGCTAACGATGCCTAGTGTGTACTAAGTGCTCAAATGTCAAGTGTTGATAATAAAGGAGGGATTTAGCAAGTGCCCAAGTCAGGGCGAGTATCCAGCGTGTTCATGAGTCACTGGCTTGGACTGTGATATCTGGTGTGGTCCCAATCCCAGACAGCATATGCATCAGAAAATGTTTTGCTTATCTCCTGGCACCTACTGGAACTCAACATTAACAGAGGCGGGAAGGCATTAGAACGATTTGTCCTAACTGATGGAGATTTGGGTTTCACAATTATGAAATGAGCAAACTGCTTCAAACAGAACAAAGACAGAAAAACAATTTCTATCTGATCAAATCTGTACATTCACATGTAACTGAATCCATTTGCTATTGAACACTAACTTGACCCAGGCACCCTATCAATTTCCTGGGTGGTAAAATGAATAAAAGTTGTCTGTCCCACTTAGTGTATTTTGACTCAAGAAGACAATCACAGACAAGAAAAACTAAAGTATAAAGCAACATGTTCATTATAAATGCTTAGTGAAGATAGACACAACGTAGTTAATAGCAAAAGGGAAATTTTAGTTAATATTGATGGGGAATAAGGAAGTGGTATCTAAGTTAGACCTTGAGTGATAAGGAGAATTTTGGGAGGCAGAGAAGGAGATACAAAGGCTGCCCCTGGCTCAAAAATTATATTTTTGCCAAAACATAATCATTTAAAAAGATACTAATTTGCCAAAACATAATCATTTAAAAAGATACTAATTGGGACAATAATTATAATTTAAGACTAACATTGGGTTACAAGGTTTGCATTTTTTGATTTTTATTCCAGATTTTTCTTCTGCCATGAGAAATTAAGAAATTAAGCAGTTTAAGAAATCCTAAGATACAAATAACTTCTGCCCAGAATTGGACCAAATCTGGAATTGTTTTTTAAATACTGGCATAATGATTAATAATTTTTACGACATTGAGACCGTGTAATGAGCCATCATAATCAAAGGCCAGTCAGGCATTTTAAACAAGTTGAATTTACCCCATAAGAATATTTTAAAGGCCAATTAAAATATTTTCTCTGGAACAGTGTGCTCTCAAAGTTTATATGTAAATCATGTAATATAAACGAAGATGTTCTCCACTAACTTTGCCTTATTGTCTGTCATTCCTTGACGTTTAGGGCTTGCTTAATATAAGCATGATTGGGACATACATTTTATTACCCAGGCTAATTAAATTTATTGTCTAATTGGGCTTTGATTTCAGAACCACAGAACAATACATTTTCTCCACATGGTATCTCTCGTTTCTTGCAAACCCCAGAGGACGTGCCATTTGAATGTGATGGAAATAATTTCACTTTCTCATGATTTATGGTTAGTGGGGGATATTTAAGACGGGCATCGGGTTACAAGTTTATATTTTTTGATTTTGATTTTTTTCCTTTTTAGGTCTCTCATTGTAACAGCATGTTCTAGGGCAGCCACGCTTCTTACCCCCAGCCGCTTTCTGGGATCAGGTTTCGGGAAGGACTTGTCCTGGATGGGTGTGCAATGACAGTTGGCCTGCTGGGTCCCTGTTCCCAAAAAGAGTGCCCTCACAGCATTTTGTTCCAAGTAAGGTCTCATCCCCCAAGAACAGTCTTTGAAAGTCCCTTTGTAGATTCTTCATTTGCATGACCTACTTCCTTAAAGGACTGGGGTGACTCATAATACAAAATTAGCATAAAGCTGTTAAAATGCACATAGAGACTACAAACCCTTGAGAAGAATGGGGGACAGTGGGGAATGGGAATATGCCAAGTAGACCGCCCCCAGGACTGTCTTCACCCTGGGGCTGGTGACTTCCTAGGCTGGGTAGTTCTTTGATGTGGGGGGTCATCCTCTGCAATTTAGGATGTTTAACAGAATCTCTGGCCTCCACCCACTCATGCCATTCAATGTGTGGTCCCTGGGCCTCCATGACATTATCTATAAAGTGGGCCGAACAGGTTTATGTGAGGATGAACTGACTTCAGATTTCTAAAGCACTTATCACAGTGCTTGGCATCAGTAAGCTCTCGATAAATTCTAGAGAGTAGAATGTGTGTCTTTCATTTTTTTAATCTTCTCTCTCTATGCTGTGTCATCATCGCCAAGGTTACGTTTGAGAGAGGTTGGGTTCTTGCCCGTGGCCAGGAAAGAGTGAAAAGCCATAAGCAGGCAATAGTTGATGTAGTGACAGTATACAGGGCTGGGGTCGAGCAGGCAGAGTCCATGCAAGAACAGCTGCCCTCAAAGTGGGGGGGCTGTGTCTTAAGTGGGGCAAGAGAGTTGCTCATTTGCTCCTTTCCGGGATTTACTGAACAGCCTTTGTTGGGTGTTGGCTTGTGGGCCCTGGTGGGAGTTTCTAAGTCACTTCCCCTTCTGCTGCACCCCTGGAGTGTAGTTCTACCAGCCCCAGCTGGTGATTCCTAGTGTCCTGGATGCCTTTGGTCTTTGATTGTCTTAGGTGCCACATTCTGCCCCAACTACCTAACAGAGTAAGAGAGGACAGGTGCCAGTTGCCAACTGGTACTGACTCCAAGGGGGGATAAGGGGAGAGACAGGCTTAATGAAAGAACACTCAGGCCCTGTCCCCAAAGAGTGCTCAGGAAGATCTGTCTTGTATGCATTTGCATCACCATTGAGAAACCCTCTTGCCTTTACCTGCAAACAGGTGGAACAGAATAGGTGAGGAAAATTCAAGAAGAACCCGAAGAAGTGGGCCTCCCTTATAGCCTAGGGGTTACGTATCAGCGTTATCAAGCTATCCACAGTCCACTGCGGCCTGCGTTCCATCACCCACCAGGGAGCTACCCACATGGCACAGCAGACATCTCCTGTCTTGCCCGCTGCTCCCCTCAGCAGTGTATTTCAGTAGATTTGCTGTTCTGCTCCCCACTCTCTCTGGTGAATCCTCTCACCCCCTGCACCTCTTGCCTATACCCCAAATCTTTCATGCAAAAAAAATAAAAGCCCTAAGAGAATGGAATAAGGAACTTATTAAGGAGACTGGGGCTGATGGATGTAGAGAGACTCCCAGTGGAAAGGTGGTTTCCTAGCAACTGGCAGCCCAGGGGCCTGTTGAGGACAATGGGTGTGGGTGGAGGTTTGCAGATGTATTGGAGGGAGCAGCCATCCCCAAATTTACCTCTCTGTGAATACTGTGAGCCGGACAAGTCTTCCTCAACCACAAAAAGTCATGTAGCTGAGAGAGCAAATAAAAATCACTCACTAAAGAAATTCATCCTCAGACTGTAGTTACTCTTGCACACTGCCCCAGGGTGCTGGAGAGCTGGCTGAAGCCTTGGATGCATCCAGATTTAATTATAATATATCCATTAGCCCAAAGGCAGAGGATGTTTAGTCAAAATGTGACCCTTGGAAGTCATTCATTTGGTGTAAACCAGGCTTACAAAGAAAGCCTATTTAGAAATGATTCAGAATAGGAAATCTTTAGTGTTATAAAGGTCTAGATTTTGTCCTTGGAATTGGTCAGCTGAAAGTTGAGCAAGATAATTTTAGTACTTGCAGGCTTTTTCCACATAGGACAAGAGAGACTTAACTTCATGGATTTTGTGGGGAAACTTCAATTCAGTGGCTTGTGTTTGAATCATTATGACCAAGTGGGAGAGAATGAGGATCTGTTCCAATAGGAGATATTTAAATTAGGAGGGATTAAAAAATATCTATAATTATTTGGTATCATCTCCAAGGGAACCCACAAATTCATTTTAACAATAGCTGGGAAATTTCCATCTGGAATAGGAAAGACACTGGAGTTCACATCTGGTTGTCCTAGCCCACACATATGGTGTTGCCAGGAACCAGACCTCTGCCTTAATTCTGTTTTCCTGAAAGTTCCAGTAGATCTTGCCTTTTATCTTGGGGTAAACGATGCAACTACTAAACTGAAATACAAGTCAGAAGATAAGTTAGTGCACTCATAGCCCCAAATACAACTTGCACAACTTTTAAATTTTTCTAAGTACTTGTACATCACGAGGCAATGCCAGAAGCTGCAGGCCAGAGGCTGGGTTAACCACCAGAGGCTGTTGATACCCAACACCGGCCTCAGTTTCCCTCAGCCAATAAAAGGAAACAGAGTTTGAGGAAAGGAGAGTGGTTTAATTTGTCGACAAATGAGGAAGGCTGCAGACTCATGTCTGAAAGGCCTGCTCTTTGGCAGGGTGCAGGGTTATTTATACAAAGGAAAAAATGGGGAGGTGGACAAGGGTCTGCAAAGGGGAGGGGGAAGTGGTCAGCACAGAGCTGGGTGGGCCCAGCTTGCTTTCTTCCAACAACTGCTGTTTAACTCCTTTTTCCTTGGAAAGAAAGAAGACAAACCTGTCCAACAAGGGGAAAAGTCCGAGAAATATGGGAAAGGCAAACTTGTCAATGCGAAAAACCAAGGACGTCCAAGGCCCACATGTCTGGTTATATACACCAAGCCTGGCTGCTTAACTCCACCCTCAGTTCCCAGCAACCCTCCCTTCGGTGGATTTGTAGCCCTTGGTGTCCTGGATCTCTGGTCTGGGGTGGGGGTGGGGTCCATAAAACCTATTTGTGGAGTATGTTCAGGACATCCTCTCCCCCCAGCACTTCCGAGGTCTTTCCTTTGCTTCTGAACTCAGGGTGAGGGAGTTGTGGGTTTTATTTACTTTTTTTTGAAGATGTATTTATTTATGCATACAAGAACTGGGGTACAGGCCAGAGATGCAGGGGCTGAGAGGATTCACCAGAGAGAGTGGGGAGCAGAACAGGCAGATCCACTGAAATACACTGCTGAGGGGAACAGCGGGCGAGACAGGAGAGGTCTGCTGTGCCATGTGGGTCAGCCCCCAGCCAGCTGGGGATCAAACTTGTGTTGCAGTGGCTGCAGACAGCTTGATAGCGCTGTCTTTAACCACCAGGGAGGCCCAGTTGTGGGTTTTAAGCCATTGGTTGAGGACAGCTTATGGGATGAATTCACTTGCGAGCAATTCTAAATTGCTGTGCATGGTCTAAATGGGTTGCATTTGCCAGCGTACATGGAACCTGGGGACAGAATGGAGAGACTGACATGTCCCTCTAAGACCTTCTATAAGGTTTTCCTTTTGGACAGTTTATACTTCTGCCAAATATCAGATAATAAATCAAAGAAAAACTTTGTAACTCAGATAGGGAAACTGAGGCATGACAGGGAGTAATGGACTAAGTCAGAGTTCTATGACCTAGGTCACCGAAACAAAACCTTCAGGTCATCTGATTTTTACTCTAACTTTTGAGCCAAGAGATGATGGTTTCCTCTAGAGCAGGGGCAAAGTTTTATCAGCAACAGATGCCCCCTTTGGTTTTTATGTTACCTACACTCGGTAGCTGCAGCAGAGATCAGGAGCGCTGCAAGCTGAATACGTTTGCTCTCTGATGCTCTCAGGGAGAGACTGATTGGTGCTTACGGTTGAAAGACACTGGTTTGGGAGCACCTGTCACTGTCTCGCTGGCTCTCAGTTTGCCCCCTATGAACGTGGTCATATTCATCACCCGTTTCTTTTTATGTCAATGTAGTGCCCCTCCTCACCCCCTCTTTACAACACTTGGTCACTCAGGATTGAATTTACCTTCCTTTTTCTAAAATCTGATGAGGCAGCTGAAGCTCCAAATGTTCTCGGGATCTGTCCAGTGTCACGTGACTGGGTAGTGACAGGTCTTCCCATTGAGAAAGGGGCCAAAGCAGCTGAAGTTCTGGCCATGACTAAGTCACTGGCCTAACCTAAGGCAACAGGGGTCCCATTCTAGTGGAATTTCTCCCTGGGTTCCTGTTTCTGAACCTCCCATCTCCCCTAAACTGAAATATGTGCACTAGCATGAGTGTGTGAATCTTTTCAGCAATCTGAGGGTTCTCTGTAGTTATGTAGAAGGTTAATAATTCTCCCAAGTCTTTTTTGACCTGCTACCAATTCTAACTCATCCTAGGACCTTACACACACACACACACACACACACACACACACACACACACACACACACACACACCCCTCTGCAGATCTTTGTTCTCATTCAGTGAGCTTTGGAGACCCTTTAAACTCTAACAGCATGGGACAGTTGACTTGGTTTTTACTGTGTCCTGGATAGGAAGGGAAAACTCAGCCTTATTTATTTTTAATATGGACCATGGCTTGGATAACCTTCATATGTCAAGCAGAAATTATTGGAGACCTTTGCAAAATATCCATGGGCATGTTTTTTGTCTTCTTGTGCAAAGACTTAAAAGTGGGACAGGAATAGCTACTGCTATGACTAATGGGGGCCGATAGTGGGAAAGACAAAACATAACGTCCTAGAGCTGGCATCGCCAGGAGGAACACGTGCAGCATTCCAGCTTCTAGCGTGAGTGGCTAAGGGCTGTCAGCAATCTGAGGGCCGTATCTTTTCTTAGGGCAATCTGTGATGTTCAGCTTTAGCCAGGAAGAGTATCAAATGATGTGGGAGTGTGAGGAATACACAAGGGTACAGATTTTATTACTAACGAGCAGAGACTGGAAACCCATTTGGAAGCCTATCAGGTTTCTTTTCCTACCTCGGTCTAGTGATCTCATTGGGTTGAATGCTCCATGGTTTGACTTCAGGCTATTTTCATTTTCATTACCATCTTCATCTTTCCATTTTGCTGCTCCATTTATGGTCTCCATCACTCCTCCCAAGTTCTCATCTTCTTCACAACTCATCTTTTATTCAACCTGCTGTAAGTGCCTGCTGGTCATTCCACTTAGTTTCATGGAACTATTTTGCGTACGTAGCATCTGGGGGCAGAATGGAGAGACGCTGACAAGTCCCTCCAAATCAGTCCATAAGGTTTTCCTTTGGGCTTTCTATACTGCTTCCAAATATCTGATAATAAATCAAAGAAAATCCTTGTAGAACAGATAGGGAAACTGAGGCACAAAGGGAGTAAGGGTAACCAAAAGAACACATTCAGGTTATCTGATTTTTACTCTAATCTTTGAGCCAATGGGATAACTCTTTGCTCTACAGCAGGGGTTGGCAAACTATACTTCCCCCCGCCCAACCCCGCGCACAGTCAAATCCTGCTGGCCTCCTGTTTTTGCAACGAAAGTTTATCAGCAAACACATGTGCCCTTTAGCTATACAACACTCTGCAGCTGCAGCAGACATCATGTGAGCTGCAAAGCCTAATATATTTGATCTCTAGTGCTTTATGGAAAAAGTTTGCTGACTCCAGAAGGTGATGAGAGCCTTGAATTTGATGGACTTGATATTTCTTAAAATTTCTTACTCTAGAAATAGTGCACAAAGCCTAATTGAAGAAGCCTTCAAGAAATTTCCTTATTTGCAGTGGTTTTCTTTTTCTGTCAATATCAGTTGGGGTTCTCCAGAGAAAGAGAGTCAGTAGGACTTATGTGTAATGCATGTGTGCACACATATACACATCCATAGCATTACATGTCTATTTCTATATAGTTTATTATATGGAAGTGGCATGCATGATAATGAAGGCTGAGAAGCCCAGACCGGGGAGAACCAATGGAGTAAGTTCAAGTCTGAGTTCAAAGGCAGGAGACCGATGGTCCCAGCTCAAAGTCAGGCAGAGGGTGATTCTTTCTCACTCAGCGTTTCATTCTATTTGGGTTACCCATGAGTTGGATGAAGCCCACTCGCACTGGGCTTGGCTGTGCTCAGCTTTACTTATCTACTGAGCCAAATGTTAATCTCATCCCCAAATCCCCCCACCCCTGACACCCCCAGAAATAATGTTTAACCAAATACCTGGGTACATGGGGCCCAGTCAGGTTGACATTGGAAATCAACCATGACAATGGACAATGGTGGAAGACTAAGGGTGTCTTGGTGGTGGATGTGGTGTGGTAGCAATCTCTAAAGGGGGAGCTCCCACACTTCTAAATCATATACCATGTGGAAAACCAATGTTATCTCAATAAAATTATATATTAAAGAAAAGATGAAAAGAAGAACATAACCATCCTCCTTCTCCCAGTTCTTTGGAGAGTGGGCATTGTTTTTGTAACCGCTTCTCAGTCCAGATAGGAGCAGCAAGAAGTCTTCGATCTTGGCTGACTGGGAAGTCCCCACACTCTGGGGTAGTTTCATGCAGAAGAGAAGCTGTTGGGATCTCAGAAGTGGTGATGTCAGCTTTGTGCAGTCTAAATGAAGGACTCGGAGCCCAGCAGGACAAGCTCCAGAATTTGTGAAGCTGAGTGCAAGACGGAAATGCTGGGTCTTTGTTCATGTACACACACACCTATGAAGAGTTTCAAGATGGCGCCCGCAGCATGTTAAGTCAAGTGCACACCCATTTGACCACAAGACCCTGTATAAACACACAAATCATATTTCCAGGAAGCCAGCTCTGCCCCTTTGGAGCGCAGAGGACAACAGAGGACACCTAATCAGAGTTCATGACTGTTGCTCTTTGAAAATGAGTTACGCCACACTTCTCAGCTGGCTTCCTGGAGTGAGAGCACTGCAGATTCTGGCAGCTCTGGAGATGGGTCCACCAGGAGTGCATACTTCTCCAACTTGGCATGAGTTGCTGGATTGTGTGCTTTCTGGATCTAAAGAGCATAGTTGGATCCCCAAATCACTCAACTCCAACTGCCTCATCCACTCTCCCCAGTACCTGGAAGTTATTTTTAGGTGACCTACGGGCAGGAGGTTTGATCTGGAAGTTCCATGCCTGAGGATTGAGTTTCAGGGAAATGTTTCAAAGAATTTACACAATGCAACACGCACATCTTAGGGCATGTTGATTTTTTTTTCCTTATTGTTTTACCATGAAGCAGTTCTATTCTTAGTTTTGTTCTCTTTTCACTGCCCCTTCCTAACTCAGTTTTCTCCATTTTCATGATTCTTGGACGTGCCACTCCTGAGCCCCTCACAGCCACATGGATTTCCTTTCCCTCATTTGCTGCCAATCTCTCTGGTTCTCTACGATGAATGAGTGTTGTTGCCAACTTGCTTTTGGTCTTTCCAGACTCCTTTCTATTTTTATACTTTGCTCTATTCAGATTCTTCTCCTGATTTCTAGACCTGGAGTCTAAGGCCGACTTTCTCCCTTTAACTCCCTGGACTGATCACACAGCACAGCAACATACTTAGTCATGGCGCCTGCCTTCCCTTTTCCTGTTATTGTCTCCATCTTCAATTTGGCCTTTTGTTGTTAGGTTGTTGCAGTGAATAAGTAAAGTGTCAGGGAATAAGTGGCCAGCCAGTCTTAATGCCTTAACTCACTCATCTTTTGTCTTGGGGCCACAATCTACTAGTACTTACCCTCCCATTGTCTTAGAATCTTACTTAGTTTATACATCCAAGTTTTTCATATGGCTAAGAGAAAAATCATCCACTATACTCACCCCACCTTTGCTGCCAAGTGAAAAGAAAAACCTGACCATATTGTAAGGGAAATACATAGATTGAAAGTTAAACCACCCACTGGCTTGGCCAGCAGATGGTGCTGTTAACCCAGGTCAGCTGGGTAGTGGTATTAGGTGATTTTGGGGTGGGCAGGTACATAGTTGATGGGGAATGAATGCATGGTTGAACCCACCTGTGCTTACAGTAGTGAGTATATCTAGGGGCCCTGGTACTGAATCAAATGCTTAATTTTCCTTGTGTCCCCCTGAGTGATGAAAATACATATGTAATCTGTGCCTATGATCAAAGTTATGTGACTCCAGTTGTTACAATTCAGGTCTTAGAAATGTGGGAATTGGGATGACACATTTATTTGAACATTTGGCTCAATATACCCTTTTTTGCTAGAAAGTAACTTTTGTTTATTTTCCTTCCCTTTCTCCCTCACCCAATCCATAAGTTGGTGGGCCAGTCTTTTCTTCATAAAGATGGGCATTGCTCTGATTTCAGTCCTACTAGGTCTCTTCCTGTCATAATTTCTATCACCTCATGGGTGTATAGACATTGGAAACTGAGTTGCTGTTTGTTAAGTGACTATATAATAGTTGCCTGTCCAGCTCTGATAATGTCAAAACTTGGCAGCCCATTCTCTTGATAGATGCTTGATTATTCCTTTATTATTATTATTATTATTATTATTATTATTTTAAAGTTTTTTTAATTTTTTTAAGATTTATTTATTTATACAAGAACTGGGGTACAGGTATGAGGCACGGGAGGGTGAGAGAATTCACCAGAGAGAGTGGGGGAAGCAGAACAGGCAGATGGACAGAAGATACTGCTGAGGGGAGCAGAGGGAAAGGCAGGAAAGGTCTGCCACGCCATGTGGGTTTCTCCCTGCCTGTCCAGGAATTAAACCCACACTGCAGAGGCTGCAGACAACGTCACAGTGCAGCACTCAACCTGCTGCACCACCAGGGAGGCCCTATTATTGTTATTTTTAAAGATTTATTTATTTATACAAGAACTGGGGTACAGGCCAGAGGTACAGGAGGGTGAGAGAATTCACCAGAGACAGAGTGGGGAATAGAACAGGCAGATGACTGAAATACACTGCTGAGGGGAGCAGTGGGTGAGACAGAAGAGGTCTGCTGCACTGTGTGGGTAGCTCCCTGGCTGGGGATCGAATTTGTGCTGCAGCGGCTATGGATAGCTTCAAAGGTTGCTTCTTAACCCTTTGTGCCACCAGGAAGGCCCGTATTCCTTTATTATTATTATTATTATTATTATTATTATTATTATTATTATTATTTTACAGGTAAAGATAAAGGCAAATCCTGAGCAAATCTCTCAAGTTTGATTACCAAGGTATTATACCTCTTGGATTTACTGCCCCATGTTCTATGCTGGCACCATGGTTGAAGCCATAAATTGCATTTTTGTTGTAAATCTTTTGTTGGTAGGAGACACCTAAATTACAATCCAAGACCAAGAGCTTTTGGCTTGCTGACAAAGAATGAATGGGCGGTGGAGTGCCTACAGTGAAATGGACATACATTTGCATGTGTATCGACATGAATGATACACGTTATGTGTATGTCCATGTCTAGCATAACAAAGGACAGCTCTTTAATTTGCCACAAATGAGCAGAAGACCTTGTCCTCCTCCAGCATAAGTCACCACTCTTGTGGCTTTCGCCATTTTGCAGAAATGCTCTTCCCCCTCTTGTTCAGAATCTGTTCATTTGCGGGACATTTTCTCGCTTGCAGAGGTTGTGGGAGCTATTATGCTGGTGTCATTAGCCTTCTGATTTTATTAAACCCTGTCACCCATAACAATGAAGACACTTGAAGATCTCACACCCATTTTCCAATGTTCTGCACTTACAGTCTTTGCAGTGCTGCTGCTTCCTCCAAGACACTGCTGTGCCTCCTCTACCCATCCCCAGAGGCCCAGATCAAAACCCCCACCCTTCTCAAGAAGCCTGTGCCAATCCTCTTCTTTCACTCTTGGTTTATGCCTCATCCAAAGCCTGGGTCACGGTTTACCTGGCTCACTTCTTGTTCTGAAAACCTGACACAACTCTTCCCACATTGCAGGTGCACTGGAAGGACAACTACTCATGTGTGTTCCTGAGGGACGCAACAGAGCACCTGGGTATAATGGGTTCTTAATAACTGTTGAGTTGAATTAGATTACATTTCCTAACCGTTTTAATGAGACAGTGTTGCCTTGTATGGTTTGTAACAAAACTCTGTAGAGATAAAAATAGATGAGGAGGACTTGCCAGGTGACTTCTTGCACAATGAGGTTGTGTCATTTTGGATTTTTGAGAAACCTCTCAGTGTTTGTGGTTCCTAAAGTTCCTGCTGTCCCAGCACTCAGTTCAACATGGATTTTGATAAAAGAGTATTTTTAGACTTTCTAATCAGTCCTGCTCTGCCAGACTCCTGCTCCCTGCTATGTGCAGCTGAGTAATGGCAAATGCTGGCACGGGCACGCACAGACGTTTACAAGGCGTGAGGTGGGCTCAGCCAAGTGGAAAACAAAGCCCCCCTTTTGATCAACCCAGCAGAATGTCCCCAGATGCGTTTACTGTTTGCTACTGGAGGAACCAGCAGGCGCTGGTACCAAGTGCATTTCTACTAGTTTCTTCACCTCGGGAAATATCTGCATCCAAGAGCCAGGCCCTTCCTTGATGTCTTGAGTTTGCGGGGTTGTGTGATCCACAGTGTGAGGGGCTGCGGGCCCCTCTGGGGACCTGGTGGAGGCCACGTGGCCTGGGCGGGTTTCAGTCTCTGCTGTGAGATGCAGAGGAATGAACTCAGACCCTGCTCCCCTCCAAACAGGTACTGGACGCTCTTCGAAAACTCCAGATACACATGCAGAGACCTGCTCTCTTCTTGCTGAAAATACTCCTTTTTCTCTAAAATGAAAGATCAAGAGAAAGCACTGCTTTATTCTTTGGCACGTCATAAAAACCATCAGAATATGTTTAGTAACCTTTGGAATTTCACTCCTTTTTAGATGGAGAAGTCATTCCAAAAAGGAGCGAGCCTGACTCTGTGTGTGTGTGTGTGTGTGTGTGTGTGTATGTGTACAGGCCAGAGGTGTGGGCTGTGAGAGGATTCACCAGAGACAGAGTGGGGAACAGAACAGGCAGACTGACTAAAGTACACTGCAGAGGGGAGCAGTGGGTGAGTCAGGAGAGGTCTGCTGCACCATGTGGGTAGCTCCCTGGTGGGGATTGAACTCGTGCCGCTGTGGATATGGATAGCTTCATAGGTTGCATCTTAACCCTTGCACCACCAGGGAGTCCCAAATTTACCCCTTTGACCCAATTTACCCATCTGTCTTCCCCTTCCTGTCTGGTAACCACCAATTTGGAATATAAAAGTACTTCACTTAGGACATTCCTTTCCCAATGATTGAAAATGGCAGAATTTCATGTTTTTTTAATAGCTGCATAATATTCCACTATGTTCCACTGTGTATATGAGCCATGTATTCTTTATCCAGTCATTTGTCCACATACATTTGAGCAGTCTCTGACTCTCTGCTATTGTGAATAATGCTGTGATGGAGCATTCCACTCACACTCATGATCTTTCAGGTAACTGTGGCAGTGTATACCTCATCTCTTCCTCTCTCCTTTTGCCATCGAGGCAGGGCTGGAGGTCCCATGTCTTGTCTAAGGACTCAGGCCAGTGAATGGCAGTGTGGAGAGTCGAAGCTGTGATCTTCACAGTGAATCCAGGATTCTGCCAACTGTGTCTGGTCTTAGCAGCCACAGCGAGGGAGAGTCATGCACATGTGTCTCATGGAAACAATTTATTTTTTGTGATGGGGAAAATATATATATATATATATATATATATATATATATATATATACACACACACACACACACACACACGTCAAGAATAATACATTTCAAGACACACCTCTGGAAGAGATTCCAAGATTGTAGGGTCTGAGATTGATTGAGCCCAGAATCAAACAACTCAGTTAACAATGACTTTGGGGGGACCTCCCTTGTGGCCTAGGGATTAAGTCTCAGTGCTATCACTGGTATGACCTGAGTTCCTACCTGGCCCGGGAGCTGACCCACATGTGGTCCAGCAGACCTCTCCTGTCTCGCCCCCTTCTCCCCTCAGCAGTGTATTTCAGAAGATCCCTCTGTTCTGCTCTATACTCTGTCTCTGGTGAATCCTCTCACCCCTGCCCTCTGACCTAGTCCCCAGTTCTTGCCTGCAAAAATAAATAAAATCTTTAAAAAAATAAAAAACAATGACTTTTGAAGATCTTATGATAGCAGGGACAGCACACACCCTGTGAGGTGTTACTCACTGAAATAGCAGTTGCTCATTTTAACTATAACAAGGATCAGCTGATTCACTCTCTGGTTGGGATGAACCGGTTGACTGGACCAGTGATGTTATTTCCAGCTAATTTCTATTTGTCTCAGCTCTGTAAGAATGGCCTTCTTTGTTTAAATTTCTTTGACCTTTGGGGTCAATTAGCCTATTTACGGGCAAACAGGAAATGAGAAAATATAGATCAGAAATTACGTTCAGAACTTAAATGCAACCACTTAATTTTAGAGATTTAAAAAAAAATGGAGTGGCAATCAGTCACTTTGCAAACAAGATACCAGGCAAATTTGACTGTTTTTAGACTTTGTGAGAGTTTATAAATATAACCTTCTGTTATATTTATCTTATTTCTCTAACTTTTCTGTGAATTAAAGTTTATTTATTTATTTATTTGTTTTAAGATTTATTTATTTATGCATACAAGAACCAGGGTACAGGCCAGAAGTATTAGGGGTGAGAGGATTCACCAGAGACAGAGTGGGGTACAGAACAGTTGGATCTACTGAAATACACTGCTGAGGGGAGCAGCAGGCGAGTCAGGAGAGGTCTGCTGCGCCATGTGTGTAGCTCCCTGGCTGGGGGATCGAACTCGTGATTCAGTGGCTGCGGATTGCTTCATAAGTTTTGTCTTAACCCCTTGCGCCACAAGGGAGGCCCAAAGTTTATTTATTTTTTAAACCAACCCGTTGATTATGGTGGCTTTGAGTGGAATAGAGATGTTAAAAAAGATAAGCTTTTAAATTTTCTTATCTAAGTCTTCATTTGTAACATCTGTGCTTAAATGAGTAATGGTTTTAGGTACATGCTTTCAAAAAGAAGATTAAAAAAATGAATGAACTAAATAAAAGAAAAATAAACTTTTAAACTATTGGTGCAAATGAATGTTTACCAGAATGGAAGCAGGGAGGAGGGTGAGTAAATCAGGGAAAAGAGAAAAATTGTACACTTGGAGTGTGAACGTCATGTAGTCTCTATGCACATTAATTTAAAATGATGCACAACTGAAGCTTCTATAATGCTACAATACAATGGAACATTAATAAAAATTATTAAAAAGAAAAAAAAATATCCCTTCTGGAATAGTCTATGGTGGAATTTTTAATTAGCACATGGCACCTATATTAACGTTCCTCTCTTCCCATCACTTAAAGCTCAAGAAGGTCATTTTGAACTTTTTACCAGCTCCATCCAAAATGATAGCTGGTTCTTTTAAAATATCTTTTAAGAATTCATAGATTTTTCTAGGCAACAAATGCCTTGGGAGTTCCCTGTGTCATGAGAGTGAATTAATGTAACTTACCCCTCTTTGGAGTCCTCAAAGACAGTGAATTTGGAAGAGCTGGCTAAGAAGTTGTGATATCAAATAACCAAATTAATCCTCCATTGGCATCTAAAATACCAGGTCTGCTAAGTCTGATCATGTTTCAGTAGATCGAAACTGCATAGTGTTTATTGCACAATGGATTTAGCAAGAATCTAGATCGATTTGCTCAAAATATAGATGATTTAGCACTTTTGGTAATAAGAATAATTCAGGCTGTCTTCTAAGTATTTGGAGAAAGCAATTGGAAAATGGAGACTCTATAAAAGTTATAAAGAAACAGGCAGGAATGTCCTACCCCACCCTTACAGTATCTCTGAAGGTGGAAATGGGAATCAATATTTAAATGCACATAATTGATAAATGCAGTTTCCCAGAAGATAAACGCTTCCTTTCTACTTCTCTATTTCCAATTTACATATGCTGTGTCCAGAAACCTTAGGATTTCTCAGAACTTTTGTTAAGAAACCTAGATTCTCAGCAGTAATTCTCAAAATTGACATAATCCTCTAAATATAACTTAAGGGAAAGAATGGAGCCCAATTATTTCCGTACTTGATGGAAATTGGGACAAAGAACAATGGTATTGTTAAGTTAAAAAAAAGAACTTTGTTGGGTAGATAGCTAGGAATGAAATTGCATGA